CCTTGAACGGAATCAGAGAGAGCTGATAATTGCCTGCAGCAGACAGCAGGGCAACTGGGGCTCGTGACGCGCACGCACGCACACTCACACGTGCTCACCCGCATGCTCGTGCAGACACGTGTGCACTCTCACACACATGCACAGGCACTCACACATGCACACACATGATCACGCACACTCCCAAGTATGCCCATACACATGCTCATGCCTATACACATGCACACAGGCACTCTCACACACATGCACATACACACATGTTCACACACATGTTCGTGCACATACACACATGCACACTCACACACGTACGCATACAAATACACGCACATGGGTGGGAGGGATATTATCTATGGTGGTGGAAAATGGGCACTGGTGGAGGGATGGGTATCTGATCATTGTATAATTGAAACCAAAGCACAAAAAATTGTAAATCTACAACTTTAAAAAAAATAAAATAAAATAAAGGAAAAAAAAATTAAAAAAAAAAAATACACGCACATGCACTCACACACAAGCACGGACTCACACACCTGTTCATACACATGTATACAACATACACACATGCACGCATCCACATATACACACTCATACACGTGCACACTTGCGCATGCACACACACAATGTTTCTGTCGGCATCCGCCCTGCCCCCTCGCTGCCGACAGGGCGGGCTCCTGCCAAGCCCTTCCACGGTCCAGTCCCCTCCGAGCAGGAGAAGGATGCAGAGCGCCCCAGCCCCAGACAGGGACGGGCACAGGCAGGAAGACACAGGGTCACCCCGGCCTGGGGGCACCGGGGCCCACCCAGGGGGCTGACGAGCAAACAAAACAAACGTGAGGGCGGCGTGTGCGGGAAGGGAGTCACCCACCTCCTGGGCCAAGGGCTCGCCCAAGTGTCCTCACCAGGTTCCCGGTGCCTGGTTCCTGCCCAGCCCCCTCCACCCCTCCCCAGCCCCGACCAGACCCCGGCCCGGCTCTTCCTGAGCACTAGGACACTGAGAAGCACAGCGCCCGCCCCGCGGGGCAAAAGGTCGGTAGGTCACTGCTGTTTACACGTGATCGGCGTGAGGCAGCAGGACACGGGCCCCGAAGGACCCGGCTTCTCCCCAGCACTGAGGACAGGGCAGCGGGGAGAGGCCCAAGGTGGCCGCCCAGCTCCTTGGCGTGACCGATGGACACAGCAGCCTCGGGGCCACCGCGTTGGGGGTAGGAAGCTGCTTCCCTAGTCCCGCTCACCCTTGAGGTCAAGGGACGTCCCCCCTTCCCACTGTCCCGGCCGGGATGGGCTAGACCCCGCTGGACTGATTAAAGGCTTTATTCTCTAGAGCCGGGGAGATGGAGCCAAGGGCTGGGCAGGCTGGGGGTGGCCCAGGAAGGAAAGACGAAGTGAGCCGCTCCAGGGAGCTCCAGCAAGGGGCCCAGGGCCCTTGGGTTCCACTGCAGGTGAAGAGCCACCAAGCCATGAAGCTCCGAACGGAGCATCCAACAGGGCCACGGGGACAGACTAGGACCCAGAACAGTTTCCTGCTTAAGGCATCCCAGGGCCACGGCAGGGGGAAGTGATGCCAGCTCGGCTGATCCGGCACCGTCTCTGCACCCCTTCTGCTGGCCACCGCTGACTGACAGAGAGCTGGCCATAACTGACTGGTAGAGAGTTGGCCACCGCTGGCCAGTGGAAGCTGGCCCCTGAGTCCAGGCTCCCTCTCGGCACAGAGCACACCTGTGGGTGCAGGGAGAGGCTGGGACGAAAGCGTCCACTGGAGGCGGCTCTGAGGCGACCGTTTCCCACGTGGTGACAGGTGGGAAAGCAGGTCCCAGCACGTGGAGCAGGGAAGGTGTGGGGAGGAGCAGGGATGCCCAGCCCCCCTCTCTCCCCCAGGAGTATTCCAGCAGAGCAGCGGGAATTCCAGCACAGCCCGGGCTCGCTGGGCAAAGCAGGCTCCCAGTGAGACCCCGCGGGACCCCCCTGCATGCCCACACAGGCGCCTTCCAACTACAGGTTCTAGAAAGTTCTGCAGCATTCCAAGGCCTGGCACCAGTGATGGTGCCCGATGGCACTGAGTGCCCAGAGCTGGTCTTCTGCTTGCTGCCCACTGCCTGGGGCTCCTGGGTGGGCCCAGTACATCCAGGGCCCTCCCAGTGATTCCTGGCCAAGTAGGCTGACAGTCCGATACACGCGCCTGTCCCCACCCACCCCTCACGCAGTGTCAGGGTCCCCTGCGTGCTCAGCACCGGCAGTGCTCAGGGACTAAACCAGTGAATGCCACATACAAGGCACATGCCTTAACCAGCTGCTGTCACGCACCACACGCACACACATGCACACATACACACACACACACACACACACACACATGTATGCACACACATACACATATGCACACACGCACTATTTTTTAATTGTAATTTGATGGTCGTATTATAAAGTTGGGGCCTTTTGCACGAACCCGTGGGAATCCAAGTGTGAGCTCTTCTGGGAAAATCAACTCCAGCTACGTGGGGTCAATATTTCCAAAGTGACCCCATTAGCGGGCTGAGCTGACTCATCCCCTTCAGCCAAACTGCACCACAGCCACTGGCCAAAGCCCCCTCCGCCCCCTCGGCCCCTCCCCCAGCCACAGCACTGGCGCTGAATTGGCAGTATTTGGCCCAAAATACTCTCTGTACCCAAATCCCACTCAGAAGGGGAATGGACAGACGAGCAGCAGGCAGTGAGCAACGTGGTCTCGCCCCACGCCCCCCTGAGTGCCGCCTGCCGTCCCCGCAGGGCCTGGGACGCTCATCAGCTGCTTCAGGGCGCCCGCCCCATGCGAGGCCCCTCCTCGCGAGAGCGTCCCAGGAAGTGCATTTCCCATGGAAGCTCTTTAATTTCCAAAGTGCTTTGCCAGAGTATTTGATGTTTGATATTGAATTTCAAAACTCTCCTGATTCGACCCAAATTAAAGAGATTTTCTGGAGCTTTCGCGCCTGTCTCTCGTCTCTCTGGCCAGGGGAGGTGGGGGGTGGGGACGCAGCATCCCCCACACACCAGGAAGACAAGACCCCCCACCCCCACCCCCTGCACGGCAACACCAGCATGCAAGGCGCTCGGCCCTCCACGCTGGGAGTGGTGTTCGTGTGGAGAAGCCCCCAAAGGGCTCCCGCGATGATGCAAGAGAGGGAGGAGTTTTGGGAGAGGGCCGGGTGAGAGGCTGTCATCAGAGGGTTCAGCCCGCTCTCAGCGAGCAAGGAGGGCACTGACCACCTGGACCCATGATCAGTTGCAGCCACTGAGTCTCCCTGTTCTCTGTAAGCCCAGCCCAAGCTCGGGGCACCCTGAGACCAGAGTGAGGCTGACCCCCAATGCTAAGACCCGCCCAGCCCTGCACACACCTGCCCAGAGATGCCCCCAAACTGAGCCCAAGCCCGCCCCCGCCTCCTCTCCAACTCACACACACCAGTCCAAACCATCCCAGCCTCTACCTTTACTTAAATCAGTGCCTTCTTGTCAGGGGCTAGGCTGGGGGTCAGTAAAACAGAGGCATCCCGCGTGGGCCTCCCAGGGAGAAGACGAGGTGGAGTGCCCTGCTGGGTCAGGAGGCAGGAGTGGCGGAGGAAGAGCAGCCGACCACTGCCAGGCTGGAGCAGGAGGCCACACACGGAGCACCCGGCTCCTGGGCTCACGCCTCTAAGTGGAACAGACAGATTGCTTTATAATTTATTAGCCCTTTCTTGGGGAGCATTTGGATACAAAGCTCCAAGCACATTCAAATTCTTTCTCGCAACTAGTGATATAAACTCTATCAAATGCTATATAAATCCAGATAAAGATAATAAAGTTAGTGGAGTAAAAGAACAATGGGAATGTAATCACGATGCCCCCTGGTAACCCATCTCAAATATTACAATAACTTGAGTCTCCACGCAGAGTTCATTCTCATTTTGCTCCTGCGATCAACCTGTTTTTAGCTTGAAGATATTTAAATAAGGCTAAATTGAATTCATCTGGTCGAGGCGGCTTCTGCAGGGGCTGCCAGGGCCTTGTTTCCTTGGCTGGGCCTCCCACCCGCTCCTGATTTCCCACTGAAGGAAGAAGAGTTCAGGGAGGCCAGGGCTGCAGCACCGTTACTTAAACTGCCAGCCAGGGGCTCAGCGGCCTGTGGAGGGGGGCTGGGGGGGCTGCTTTTCACTCTCTCCTGACCCCAGAGCCAAGGCTTGCTTCTTAGAATAAGAAAGCATGCCGGTTGGGGTTTTCTTCCATTGCTTCTGCACAGAATCCACATGCAAATCCAAAGGAAGACTGGAGGGCGTGCCCGGGGCACCTCCCTGTCTCATTCTGAGTTTTTACTGCACATCTCGGGAAACCCAGCCCACTGGAAAGGGACGCTCGATGGAGGGGAGCGAGAAGGGGAGCCGCTTTCCCCCGCCCCTGCAGTGAGGCTACTGTGACCCCTGCCCCACGAAAGTTCTGACACTGGGTCCGCTGAGCCCAGGGAAGACGCTGCCAAAAGCCCTGCAGGAGGGATCTGGGGGCACCTGGGCTGATGGGCTGGCGAGGGGCTCCCCGATTGTCCAGGAGGACTACTATGCTCTGATTAGCCCAGAGCGCTGCCATGCTGTGATTGGCCCGGAGAATTACTGTGCTCTGATTGGTCGGGAGGACTGCCATGCTCTGATTGGCCGGGAGGACTGCCATGCTCTGATTGGCCAGGAGAACTGGTAGGCTCTGACTGGTCAAGAGACCTGCTATGCTCTGATTGGCCAGGAGGACTGCTAGGCTCTGACTGGCCAAGAGTACTGCTATGCTCTGATTGGCCGGGAGGACTGCCATGCTCTGATTGGCCAGGAGGACTGCCATGCTCTGATTGGCCGGGGGGCGGGGGGAACTGCTAGGCTCTGGCTGGCCTGGATGTTATCCCTGGTCCCCAGGGCTGAAGATGTGTCAGCTGCTCCTGCAGCCATGCCCAGTAAGAGAAGGCAGCAGAGACTGGCTGACCTTAGGGGACCCTTGTGGCCGGCAGAACCCACCTCCACGGAGGTTCTGGCCCGGCCCGTGCCTCGACGCGCAGCAGGGATGGAGGATGCGGGCTTGCAGCCGGGCGCCGTAGCTGTCAGCACGCCAGGCGAGGCCGGGGGCTCTGGGGTGGACGACACAGAGAAGGGGCAAGGAGCCGAGTACTCGGGAAGGGGTGCAGTGGGGGACAGGCAGGCAGAAGAATCGCCTCCCAGACCAGACGCACTCCCTCTCCTGCCACTCCATGAAACGTCTCCTAAAAATATCCAGCCCGCTCCCGGAGCCAGCAGGAGCAGAAAACCCCGCCGTCCACGGCGGCTTTCCCGCTGGGAGATGTGGAGAAACGCTCCAGCCCGCGGCGGTGTCACGGCTGAGACACGGGGCCGCCTAACGAGCAGAGCGAGCCGGGATGATGGATTCCTCCGGGCGGCGAAATCCATCACCGTCTCCCCAGGAGCAGAGGGCGCGGGAGGCCCGCCGAACGCGGGGCCTCAGCTCCAGCGCGGGCCACCCGCTTCCCACGAGGCTAAGGCGGGCACGTCGGCGAGCCAGCAGGTGTCCGCGGCCCAGGCCCAGCGCCGCGTGTGTCCCAGACACGGAGTGTGTCCCGCGCTCGCCTCTTGTGCATTCGTGACGAAGCAAATGGGAATCACTTAATAAGGGCTTCCAAATGCCACCGTGCAAATAATAATAGTAATCACCATCTTAGTGCTGGCACGCTGCTCCGGAACACCACATCCGGCAGGACAGCCTGTTAATAAACGGGGCTCCCAGCAGCCCACCGCCCCAGGCCGCACATTACCGACCCCCAATCCAGCTCGCATTGCACTGGGAGGGGCGGGGGGAGGGGGCACTCGTACTCCAAACAGCTCCCAGCAGTGGACAGTTTATCCCAGGCACAGAACCTGGCATCAAGCAGCAGAGTGACCCGGTCACGGGAGGTACTGTCAGTCACGGCCACCTGGTGTGCTGGGTCAGCAGGGCACAGGTGCACACACACACACACACACACAGACACATGCACACCTATGCAGACACACGCACACAGCCCCAGGGCGCCCCTCAAGCCTCCTGCACCCGACACCTACCCCACAGAAAGGCAGGGCCGAGGAGAGGGGCCAGCGGGAGCAGCCGGGGAGCTGCGCTCCTGCTCGAGACGGCAGCTATTCCCGTGCACGCTGTTTTGCAGATCTCAGAATAATCATTTCTGCTCATCGTGACTCCGACGTATGGTAGCTGTGATACCCACAACGCTCCTCTTACTTAACACGACACGGAAGCAAATCACCCAGATACAGATTCCCCTTCACCCCTGTGAGCCTCGGGCTGAGCTTGCGGCAGATATTTGAAGAGAAGCCCCTGAATTTGCTGTGGCTGATGGCCAACGTGGCACAGGCCAGGCTAGTGCCACAGGCTCACGGTGGCCCCGGAAGCCCCCACCCGTCAAAGCTCTGGTGACAGCATGTCACCACAGGTGCTGAGGGAGAACAAGGGGCCTGCAGCTCTCTGGGGAGGCTGAGCAGAGGCCTGAGGCAAAACTGCAGGAAGGTGCCTGGAGCCACGTGGCAGCTCGAGGCCACAAGCACAATGATATCTCCCAAGGCCGGGGCCACCGTGGAACTGGGAAGCTGCCACCAGAGCCGTCCCCGGCTGGGCACCGCCCTACAGAGACTGGTCCTGGCCGCACACCCTCCCCCCCACTCTGATGCCCCACCACCCTCGCTGACACACGCCAGGCCAGCAGCCCACTGCCCAGGAAAACGCAGGGGCAGCCCAGGAGGGGGGCAGCAAGATGGCTTGGCCCCGCCCCCTCCTTCCAAATCTCACCCTCCTTCCCGGATGCTTGGCAACCCCCCACCCCCACCCCGGGGGAAATCAAGCCCTGCTGTAAGTGCCAACGAGCATGGCCACACTGTGATGGAAGAGGTGGAGAGGTCACACAGAGTCAAGGCACACACAGAAGGTGACCAAGTTACAATGGAATGTCCCAGGCTCCTGCATTAAGCCGTGCCTGAAGCTAGACCCTGAGCTTTTCCTGTCTCTACAGTCAGAAAGTGGGAGGGAATTGAGGGAAGATCAATTTAAGAATCTGACCTTGATTTTCTTTCGTAAAATCCAAAGGAGCCTAACGATGACTACAGTCCAATTCCAACTCCAGAGTCTTAGCTCTTTCCTTGAGGGGGCTCATGCCAGAGCAAATCAGAGACCACGGGACCCTTCTGACCATCCCGGTGCCTGAGATTCTACATCACATCCCCACGTCCATCTCAAAACTGAGTTATCCATGGACCAGAATGATAACATAGTGGGTAGGGTGTTTGCCTCACACGCGGCTGACCCAAGTTCAATCCTCAGCATCCCACATGGTCCCCCAAGCAATGCCAGGAGTAACCCCTGAGCATTGCCAGGTGTGACCCCGAAAGTGGGAAAAATAAAGCCAAAACTGAGTTATCCATGTACTGCCTCCTCCAGGAAGCTTTCCCAGACTTCCCATGCTATATGTCTTAATACTATGCATCAAACACTCTCTGGCCATGTCGCTACCATAATCCATGCTGGACTGAAACTCAGCATCCGTCTAGAACACCCAAGTCTCCTCAGGGCGAGGAGCTCAGTCTCCATCCGCCTTCTCAGCACAGAACTCAAGGCGGGAGGAGGTGCTGTGTTCTGTAGGGCTGTGTTAGGGTTGGGATCTGGGGTGTTTTTTCCTTCTGGTTCAGGGGCCATATTCCAGTGCCCGGGTCACTCCTGGTGGTGCTGGGGGGCCACGTGGTCCCAGATGGAACCCAGTTCCCACACACACAGCAGCACCTGGGCGTCTGGCGGGCTCTGCTGGGTCACGCAGGTTCCTCAGCCCACCTCCACCCTCCCCTCCCCACATCAATTCCCAAACTCCCCTCTTCCTAATGACTCTCAGCACTTTTAAATTTCAAACTTTTAAAAGGAAGGCCCCAAACGCCATTATTTCCAGAGGACGTTCTTAAATCAATCCTGTTCCAGTAGGACCGCAAAAGCGGGTGATGGCTGTGGGCGGAGCAGCCCAGGCCTCTGATCTCCGCATATCTTCCCTTTCTTCCGTGTCTTTCCCCAGCTTCAGAGCTCTCCAAACAAAAAAATCTTTCTTAAGAATCAAGTCCAGAAAACAGAATCGCCTGACTTATAAAAATAGCTATTTGGATGCACTGTGTAATAAATGAACAAATAACAAAATCAACAGCTAATGCACCTGGGAGTCAACTTAGCAGAACAGCTCCGAGCTTGGAGGAAAGAAACGGGGAGGAAAGCCGGGCAAGCAGAGCTCGAATTTGAGGCTGTTTGGACAAGGAGCGGCGGCCACGTGAGAGAGAGCACGTGAGAACCTCAGAAATTCTCCCGAGTCTTCACTCTGACGAGTCAGACCCTTGAGGGGGCAAAAAGAAAAAGGAGCATAAAATGCAAACACAATCAGCCTGGGTTTGAAAAACAAATGCAAGCATTGGCGCCTCCCTCCCCGCACTCAGGCTTCTGGCACCTTCTCTGTGAGGAGCCCAGAAGCTTCGACCCTGGCCCTTGGGGAGCCCTGGGGAAGGGACAGACTGGCACGGGCACCCCCCCTTGCCCAGCACCGCCTGGTGCGGTGGGCACTGCCGGACTGTGTGCCACCAAGGAGGTGAACACAAGACGCAGCCAGGAGGCGGGGTGCCCAGGGTCCGACACCCGACAAGCCACACCCAGGCGCCTCTGGGAGGCCAAGAGCATCTCCCTCGGGAAACCCCACCCCTCCCTGGGTGGTCCCTCTGCGACTCCGCCCTCTCTGGAGCGCCCTGGTCACACCGCCCCATAGCCCCACCCCTCAGGGTGCCCTGGCCCCGCCCCTCCGTGGCTCCGCCCCTCCGTGGCTCCGCCCCTAAAGGTGTCCTGGCCACGTCCCTCCACAGCTCGCCCTCTCTGGGCCAAGCTGGCCCCGCCCCTCCCCTCCGTCCCTGAGCCTCTGGACCGGTAGTGCCAAGAACGGCCAAGAAGGGTCAAGGCCTTGGGCTGGGGGGCAATAGCACAGCGGGTAGGGCGTTTGCCGTGCACACGGCCGAACCGGGTTCGATTCCCTGCATCGCTTATGGTCCCCTGAGCACCGCCAGGGATAATTCCTGAGTGCAGAGCCACTGAGCATCACCGGGTGTGACCCCCCCACAAAAAAAAAGAAGGGTCAAGTCCTCACACCGAGGCTGGGCAGTCCAGAGGAGTGCCTGCACTAGCCCAACACGGTCAAAGAAAAACAGCCCAACACAGAGGAAGAAAAGGTGGTGGCACTGGTGCAGAGTGGAATAGCACATAGCCACCAAAAAGGAACGAAGTGCTGTAGTGAGGACTTGGAAGCATGGCTAGGAAGTGGCTGGAAATGACAGGCAGGTCAATGGGGGCTGTTTAGAGACGGCTTGAGAGAACAGGAGAGGCCAGAGAGCCAGCGCAGGGCAGGGGCGGGGGCATTGGGTTTGTTTCCCCAACAACAAGGGTGGTCCCCTAGGCCCCACCAGGAGGGATCCCTGAGCAGGGCTGGGTGTGGCCCATGAAAGGGAGGGAGGGGGGAGGGAAAGAGAGGGGAAGGAGGGAGAGGGAGGAAGGGAGGATGGGAGAGGGGTAAAGATGGAGGGAAGAGGAGGATGAAGGGAGAGAGGGAGGGAGGGGAAGGGAGGGAGAGCACACGAGGCAAAACCTGAGGCAGAGGGGGGCTCAGAGTGCCAGGGGCTGAGGCTGGGAGGGGGCAGCTCGTGGGCATGGGGTCTCCCCTGGGTGCTGCACTGGGAGGTGCCCCTGCTCCCTCCTGACCACCCAGGCTGCCCTGCTGGTCTGCAGGATGGGCCCAGCTCCGGAGGAAGCCCAGGGCCCTCAGCACCCGGAATGGCTCTGCCCTCAGTCCCTGTCAGCCAGGCCAGAACACGGGTGCCCCTGACAGGTCCACAGCCCCCCCTGCGTGGTCACACTGGGGCCCACCCGCTGACAGAGGTGGAGACGGCCCCATCCCCCTCAGGGGCTCCGGGGAACCCACACACCCAACTGTCCAGCCTGGCCTGGCACTCCTGTCACCCTAGAGGAACAGCCCGAGACGCCCCTGGGCTGGACACGCTGGCCAGAACAGAAGGGCCGGGC